GGGGAAGCTCTATTACATCCAATACCAAGAACAGTCGCACTACGGCCCTAAAGTGTGTGCACGTGTATGTAGCTTTGAATGCTAGGCAACAAGGCTGCTTTTTAACTGTCACATTGTGTCATGGAACCCCAAGTGTGCGTCTCGGGATTGAAGATTCTTCACACGCATTTGAACAGGTGGTCTTTTGTAAGGCGGGTAAGAATAATAGGAACATTTATTGCATCCTGACTCTGATTAGCCACTGGGTCAGGGCCTTCACGGGTGTAACTTTATTTAATCCTGCGGAGAAGCTCCTAATATTATCTACATTTTTTAAAAAGATTGCTCAAATCAAGTGGCAGATAAAGGGCGTGACAGAGAGTAGAATCTAATTACGTCAGCTCTGTTCTGTGAAGACATTTATTTGTGTTCCTGAGAGTTGAAATATTTGGGATTGGTGATGAAGCATGCTACCCAGATCTAAGAATGAAAGAATGTCTGTATCATTTTAGAAGATCATGACCAAGGTAGGGCCATGGTTGTGTGATGCTTTTCTCTGTAAACTGCATTTATCAATCACTGGAGGGAAATTGGTTTCTCTGAAATGGAGAGAGTACAAGTCGAGCCTCCCCCATTAGAAAAGGCCCCCGGGACTAATTAGGTAATAGCTGCGCACCTGCTCCTCGGGGATAATGGGTAAAGGAACCAGGATGAATCTCACTCTACTTTTCAGAGGTTATAATTGACTAACATGGAGCCTTTTCCAGCGGTCAAACAGTTATATGAAATGGAGAAAATTCAAGCATCTCTCCATTTTTCTGAAATGTTTTTTCCTTGCTCAGTTCTATATGCTTAAACTATGTTGTGGTCCTAGAAGTTGGTGCGGGTGTGGTTTGTCCCAGGGTGAAAAGGTTGGCCTGTCACATGGCCTGCGGCTTTGGGGCTGATCTTGTAAATGAGTTGGTTTCTTTCTTTCCTAATTCTGAAGTCTGTTTCCCATTCTAAGGTGGACGCTGGAGGTAACTTTTGCAGCGCACCGGCGCGTGTACAAAAGTTACAAGTCGCCGGCTCTTCCACGGGCAGTGGCCTGTGTCACCCTTAGTCACTGACCTGCTCTGACCAGTCACCTAATTGAAGGATTTAGACACTAGGACAGAAAGATTCCTTGTACTGTTTGGATTTTGTATTTGTGCGACAACTTCTGGAAAACAGTATCACCTGACACTGAAAACCCATTGCTCACTTGCTGGAAATTCTGGAAGATCCTCTGTTTTATTCTGGCTTTGCTGGGAGCCTGACTCATTGTCTGGAAGGGAGTAGGATTCTGGAGCGTAAGCGAGGACGAGACCAGGCTGAGACAAGTAGGAGGAGCGAGCACAGGTGGCATTAAAGAGCTCTCCTCACCTGTCATGAGCACAAGGAAAGGGCCCAGGTGACATCCCGCTCTCCCTCCACTGGGTGCGTGTCTGGTGGAAAGGAGCACTCCGCACCCTTGATGCGATGGTTACACGGGTGTCCTTAAAAAGTATTTCGAGAACCTTTGTGCCAAATAAATGTTGCTTTAGGAGCCCAGGCCAGTTAATTCCCAGTAAAGCTATTTGTGTGAGGGGTGATTTCGGTCCAGCTGTTGTCCACACAGCACCCCAGGCCAGTAGCGGAGCAAAGGTCTGTGCACAGCTGCGGGCTGACGTCACCACCTGGGGCTGAGCCCACACTCGGGACGGCTGTACCCACAGCGGTGAATCCTTCTCTCCCTGTTCTGGCCTGTTTTCCCTTCTCCTCGTCCCTCTGCCTTCCCTCCGCCGTGCTCACAGTGGCCAACAAAATCAAACACTTTGAAGCGTTTTTTTCTCCTCTGTTTTTTCTTTACTTTTTTCTTTTTTCTTTTTTTTAAATAGGAAACACCCTGTCCGGTGGCTAATGTGAGAGGATTTCCTTATATCCTGTTTGATTTTAAAGTCAGATATACTGTAGATATACATGCATATTGATCGTTGTTTCATTACAAACATATGTATTAAAATTTGGTGGGTGTTAGCAAACTATTAACTTCACATAGAAGATCTTCTAGTTTCTGGTTCACTTAGACGTTTCTGTCTCTGATATGAGCATTCAAATGGGCTGGGATCATGCTATTTTTTTTTTTTTTTTTTGGCTGATCTCTGAAATTCCAAGAGAATTAAGTGTAAAGGCTGCATGAAACCAATAAGAAAGCTATTTGATATCCTCATTGACTGCTTGCAAAATATTTTTCAGTCGTCTGCTTTGATAGAGCATTCTCATGTGGATTCCCACAGGGAAGCCTGTGGGGCCATCATTGCATTTGTATACTTGGGAAGGTTAGTGGAAGCTAATGTTGTGTGTACCTATCTGACTAATATTTGCCTCCTTGAATCATTTCTCCACCCCCCTCCTTTGGTAAATAATTAGTACAATAAAAAGGAAAAGTCAGAAGAGTATGGTGTAACCATCAACATAACCATTATCTTTTACTAAACTCTTTTAAAGAAAAATAACTTCCAAAATGTAGTTTCAAGGGACTGAATTGTCAGTGTTTGTTTGATGACCTTCATAGTCTGGCCTCCATCTACCTCTTTGGGTCTTATCTCCAGCTGTTCTGCCTTGTGAAAGTTCTAGTCCCCAAGGCACGCTGTGCAGTCTCCCACCTTTGTTCATGGTAGAATAGTTTTCACCCTCAGTGTCAGAATGGGATTTATGTCACATGGCTCAGTTAAAAAAAAAAAAAAACAAACAAACTATCCTGATCAGAACCACAGTGAGCTGTCATTTCACACCCATTAGGATGGCTTAAAAAAAAAAAAAAATAAGAAAAGAAAAGAAAACTAGTTTGGGTGAAAGTGTGGAGGAATTGGAACCATTGTGCACTCGTGGTGGGAATGTAAAAATGATGTAGATGTCTGGGAAAACAGGATGGTGTTTCCTCAGATAATAACAGAATTACCACATGATCCAGCAAGTCACCTCCCAGGTACACACTCAAAAGAAGTGAAGACAGGGACGTGAACAGGTGTTTGTGTGCCCGTGTTTATAACAGTAGCATTCACAACAGCCCACAGGGGGAAGTAACCCAGGTGTCCGTTGACAGATGAATGCATAAACAAAAGGTGGTCTGTATGCACAATGGAATATTATCCAGGTTTAAAAAGGGTGGGAATTCTGACATGGACCACAACATACAGAGGAACTTTGAAGACGTGCTGCTGAGTGAAATAATCCAGGCACAAAAGGACAGACTGTGTATGATTCTATTTATCTGAGGTACTGATGTTACATACATGGTATCACAACTTAAAAAAAAATTTAAGACCCAAATTTACATACCATTGTATCTGAGTATAAACTACTTTGAGTGCTTATTTATTGGATCCTTAGGTACTGCCCTGTATTACTGTTTCTCAGAAGTGTATGTCTTCTCAATTAGACAGTGAGCCTCCCAAGGAGAGGCTCCATGTTGTTTCTCACCACTCCATGTGGGGTGGGAGAAGCACAGACGGGCTTCGGATATAGACCATCAGAATCCAAACTGCTTACCCCAGTCCATTCTCCTCCCACTGACTTAGCTGTGTGCTTATAGGCAAATTATGTACTCTATCTGTTGGTTTCCTTATTCGTTAAGTAATACCATTCTCATAGGACTTCTGGGAGGAGTAGATGAGATAACATGTATGGGGAACCCCATTCACTGAGTAGTGGTTTTATTTATTTATTTTTTTTATGTTCCTTTCCCCTTCAGTAAGTATTTATGGATATATTTGAATTTTAATGGTTCTCTTTAGCAGAAACTATTCTTGTCATTATTCAATATGGTCCATTTTGCCTCTGAAGGAATACTAATAGGGGATAAGTGACTAATATTTCTACTGCCACATGGCATATTCCCAAGAAACCATGAAGGCACATCTACCTCCTTGCTGGAAATACGTCCCAGAAACCAGCCAGTTCCGCATTACTTAGCTAGAATGATCAGTAAACTAAACTGTCCTTTTCTCTTCCCTACAACAATTTTATTTTTCCATGACTCCAGAAATCTATATTCCTTGCCAAAAGGGAGGTAAGGGTTAACAACAGACTTACCAGTACTCTGTATTAGTCTGTGGGTGCTTTAGGATATTGAGAACATGCATTCTCCTGAGAGAGTAGCACTATTTTCACCTGTATTGAATGTCACTGAAAGAAGGTTAAAAAGATCCAGAGTCAAGCTTCTGAGAAATGATAGAGATCTTCCAGGATTTATGATAGTATGCTTGGTGTTATATGCATTTACGTGCAAATCTGAAATGTATTCCTAATAATTATGTGTTTTCAGTAGTGGTGGTGAAGTAAGATGCTCTGATTTTAAATTCTGTTTTTCAGGTAACTTTGCCTTTTAAAAATATCAACCTATGTATGTCAACAATATATATGATATATATACATGATAACATTTAAAATGTGTTTTTCCTGAAGTTTTTATGCTCTGGTGATTTGTGTTCAACATATTCTGATACTTTGCTTTTATTACTATACTTTTGAAAACAGCTCAAATTAAGTGGAAGCTTATTATCCGTTTATTTCTTCTCTCTGGTCTTCCCTGTTCCTTCTGTGTCTTAGCGTCTCCCTACTGGCTGGCCATCCTTAGAAACGCCTCAGCCAATCAGAGCCTCCTCTCCTTATGGCCCCCGCACTGATTGGTCAACACACAAAAGGGTGATCCTCCCTTGGAAACCTGGTTCTTCTCAAGTACTTCTGTTACTTCTTGCTAGATGATTGTGTGGGGTTTGTTTGTTTGTTTTTGGTTTTGTTTGGTTTTGGGGGGTGGAGGGTTGCCAGTGACCATTTCCTCTTGTTCTTATTTATTGTTCACTTTTATACTATTACATTTGAAAGTCTGGTCAAGAGAGAACTGATTACTCAGAGTACTGTGTTAATGTTTCCAGAGTCCTCACACCTATGCCTGAAATGCTATGATTTTAGGACACTTAGCAGGTTAAATATCTTTAACCTTTTTCATCTCTTTTCAGTCACTGCTTCATCTACCTGTGAGAAATTAGAAAAAGCCAGAAATGAGTTGCAAATAGCTTACGAAGGGTTTGTCCAGAAGCTAAACCAGCAGCACCAGACTGACCTAACAGAGCTGGAGAATCGGCTTAAAGAATTTTATACAGGGGAGTGTGAAAAGCTCCAGAACATTTACATTGAAGAAGCAGAGAAGTACAAAAACCAATTGCAAGAGCAGGTCTGTGCTTTCGGAGCTTGAACATGTTCTTGGTCATGGCCGTTTATTTAAATTCTAATTGTTGTTTGATGATGAATTACCTTTTAACTTCTCTTTGTTTAAATAAGTGAAAAGGGGTTTTTCAGTGATTTTTTTTCCCTTATGATCAAAGCAATATTGAGTCAAAGAAAGGAAGAAAAAAGAAAGCAAAGTAAAAAAAATACAAACAAACAAAAACATCCTTTATCCTACTACCTGAACATCATCCCTTTGTGAACATTTTGATGTTATATTGCAAAAAGATGGTTTTGCATTTCTTCTTTTTTAAAACGGCATTGAATAACCCATATTTTTCACATAATAGTATATCATAAACTCGTCTTTAATTTTCTTGCTCCCTTTAAAACCAGCTTTTCATTTAGCCAATATTTACTGAATGCCTACGCTGGGCGTGTGCTAGGGACTGAGGCTATAAAGGCCAGTATGACAGGCGTGGATCTTACATGGTCCTATCACCATGAAATATATCCTCATTCCTTAGGATGGACTAGGCTATTTCCCTCGGTGAACCCTGGAGAACTTGTGTGTTTGGGCTCCCCAGGGGGGACAGACTGGAGAATTGCAAGTGGCAGACCCCAGCTGGGTGGGTGTTTCCCTGTGTTGGGCAGCCCTTGAATGCAAGCTTATAAATCAAGTCTCCTAATGTTGCTGCTTACTGTTCAAGTTAAGACTTTTAACTTTACTGGTGAACTGTTGTTTGGGTTCTGTTTTTTTTTTTTTTTTTACTTCTAGTTTGACAACTTAAATGCTGCCCATGAAACTTCAAAGCTGGAAATTGAAGCTAGCCACTCAGAGAAAATTGAATTGCTGAAGAAAGCCTATGAAAACTCCCTTTCAGGCAAGAATGCTTTAAAAAAAAAAAAAATAGAATCAGATCTAATGGAACAGCATGATATGTTTTAAAACGGAAATGATTCATAACCTTCCTTTCCAGAGAATACCCAGTGGTATTCAGTTTGGAGTGTTTTTGCTTTCTTTTTGCATTGTTCATTGTTACCACATGCCTTTTCCCTTAGGATGCAAATAATAGTTTGTCACAAATGCCAGCCTGTTAAGAAACAGATGAATTTTAAAGAAAGTAAAGACCTTTGTGGTAGTATTGTTCTTTATCACTTGAGGTCCTGGGAGGTTAAAAGTGTTCGTTTACATCCTGGCCACAGTAAAGGATCCATGCTAAGCACACTTGCTCACCAACTCTCTTGAACACCAATGATGCTGTGAAATGTAGATGGCACTTTTTGAATCAAGAAAGAATTTTTTAAAATTGTTTTCTCATGAACAGAAGAGTTGGAAGTAGGAGAAGAAGAAGGGGCCGTTGCTTTCAGAACGCAAGAGTATAGCTACAACAGAAGTCGTTACACCGAGCTCCATGTTTCCCCCAGAGCAGCATGTGGACATGGGTTTAGGAACTGGCTGGGTGACCTTTGGCAAAGGCCTTTCTCATCAGAAGAATAGAGTTGTGTGAAGTTAGAGAGAGAACATGTAAAAGTGACTGGCCCAGGATACATTTAGTAAACTGTTCTTCCTTCCTGCTAGAAACCGGCTTGATTTAAATTTTTTTGATGTTTATTTTATTTTTGAGAGAGAGACAGTGAGGGAGAGAGGGGCAAAGAGAGAGGGAGATGCAGTATCCAAAGCAGGCTCCAGGCTCTGAGCTGTCAGCACAGAGCCTGATGTGGGGCTTGAACTCAGAATCCACGAGATCATGACCTGAACTGAAGTCCGATGCTTAACCAGCTGAGCCACCCAGGCGCCTCTGAAATGGGGAGTGTTTTAGACTTCTGTTTGGGTCGTGAAGAGCAAATGGCAAAGTGCAGAGGAATTCCAGAGCAGAAGGGTGAAGGCCAGTGTTTGGGGCCCTCCCCTGAGAAGGTGCTCTGTGTTTCCTGAGGCCTCTGGGCCTCTGTGGGCCTCCATGCTCTCCATCATAAAATGGAAAAATATCTGCCCTACTCCCCTTGTAGGGCTAATTTGAGAACAGATAGCTTAATTCATATAAAAACATCTATCGATATAAAGAAAGATAGCCATACTGCTTCTTAATGAACTCTTACCATGTGCGTGCTTTAACTGTAGAATATAGTGATCTTATATGATGTCATTGCCTCAAAAAATTACTTCTTTCCAGAAATCAAGAAAAACCATGAAATAGAAAAGAAATCACTTGAGGATATGCTTTATGAGAAGCAGGAATCACTAGAGGTGAGTAAATATCAGACACCCCCCCCCCAAAGTGTCCTCATTTTTGAGGTTCGTGTGTTTTGGATACTGTTTCTGTGTACATTTGCTGTTTCTGGTGTCTGCTTGTTAACTTGTGTTCCACATTTCATTGTTTGTTTTAGAAACAAATCAATGATCTGAAGAGTGAAAATGATGCTTTAAATGAAAAGTTGAAATCAGAAGAACAAAAAAGAATATCAAGAGAGAAAGCAAACTTAGTAAGTTGTGTGTGCTTCTCCATCATTCCTGAGTTTTCTTCTGCTCAGCTGCCTTTTCGGGTCCACTAAGTGTTCAGCAGCAAGAGGAATAATAGGGGTTTGGATTCCTTCTCCTGTGTTGCAGAGTGATTTTTAAAGTGGCTTCTTTGTTTCTTGGTGTCTTTTTAGAAATCCTAAGCACCACACACAGGTGAAGCCCAGTAGATTGCAAGGGGGTCTTGGCTAATGACTGCAGGAAGACAGGAAAACTGTCCGTGAGGGTCAGGGTTTCATGTGAGGATTACACTTTTGTTTGTTTGTTTTTAAACTAACTGGTATGCTGAGATGTAACTGACATACCACGACATTCACCCTTTTTTCACCTTTTTTTCATTCAAATGATTTTTGGGGGAGTGGGGTGGGCAGAGTGAGAGGGAGACAGAATCTGAAGCAGGCTCCGGGCTCTGAGCTGTCAGCACAGCACCCGAGGTGGGTCTTGAACTCAAGAACTGTGAGATCATGACCGGAGCCAAAGTCCGAGCTCAACTGACTGAGCCACCCACGCTCCCCTCCTTTTACATGTACAGTTCAGTGGTACACAAGTTGCACATTGGTCACCATTATCTAATTACAGACCATTTTGTCACCCCCAAAAAGAAACCCTGTGCCCATTAGCAGTCACTTCCCATTCCTCTCCCCACCCCCGACACCCCCAGCCCTAGGGAAGAACCAGTCTACTTTCTGCCTCCATGGACCCACCTACTCTGGACAGTTCATAGAAATGGAATCGTGTTCTGTGTGGCCTTTTGTGTCTGGCTTCTCTCGCTCTGCTTACGTTGTCGAGGTTAATGCATCTTGTAATAGCATAGGTGCTTCATTCCTTTCCCTTTTTGTGTCTCAGCAGTGGGTCAGAGGGGTAATCCTTCCTTTTGAAAAGTACAGATTTATCTTGGGAGCTCAATTTTCTCTTGGAACTGTAACCCTACTCCCCTGCCCCCACCCTACTTTTGAGAATTTAAAAAACATTTTCCTGTTTGTCTTCAGTGTCACCGCTGTCATACATGTGCGCGCGGGGCTGCAGAAAGTTATGCTGTCGCTTAGAGTCTGCCAGCCCGAAGCACGTGTGTGTGGGTGACTTGGTGAGCTCTTGTGCTCATGTCTCTGGACCCCCCTCTTAGACATTGGAATGCAATTAGATGAGGTCATGTTCAGTGAAACTTCAAAGCTGTTTGTTCTGGAACATTCTTAGACAAAACAGTGATTTAAAAAAAGAAAAATCTAGACTGAAAGGCAGGCTGTAAACCTTACAAATGGCTCCAGGAACGGATTGTTAAAGAGCTTCCTGGGACTACAGCAGCTCTTGAAAACTAAAGGAAGCAGATTGAAGAAAGCGGGGTTATTTACTGCCTCCCCCTGTGTGAAGGCACCTGCTGCTGTGGGAGAGCACATTTGAGAAAGGGACAGGTGGGCTGAGACGCAGGGAACAGGGCTGTGGATGCTCTAAGTTTTAATAATCGACAGAGTAGGGGCGCCTGGGCGGCTCAGTGGGTTAAGTGTCCGACTCTTGATTTCAGCTCATGATCTCCTGGTTAGTGAATTCAAGCCCCACATCAGGCTCTGCACTGACAGCACAGAGCCTGCTTGGGATATTCTCTCTCTCTCTCTCTCAAAATAGAGAGACTTTAAAAAAAACTCGACAAAACAAAAGTGAGATAGGATTTTCTCTCTTTAGGGGGAAAAACCTTACCCATATGTGAAAAGGACGACAGTATACGAGACTCGGGAAGTTTGAGAAGCAGTGCAGGTGATGCAGACCTGGGTGTGACCCCCACCTGGGCACTTTTTGGCTCTGGCACGTTCCCGGAGCGTGTCACCTGAGTTGTGGAACTCAGGGTCTCCTGTGCAGTGAGGGGTCTGAATAGATCATCCCTGAAGATCCATTCCCTGGTCTTCGCTGAGGATTGGTCCAGAGCATTAAATACGGCCCAGGAGGGTGGTTTGGATGATCGACACCACGGACCCTTGTCTAAGAAAGCCTCTCATTCAACATGTGATCAGTAGATCTTTCGCTGTTCATTTGTATCCAACAGTTTGGATGGTTCACTGGGATGTCCGGAAATAAAGCAAGGAGTCAGGATGCCACCCTGGTGGTGTGCTCTAAGAGGCTGTCTCCCCTCTTTACCTTGGACAGCATTTTATTTTTTAATTTATTTTTTAAGGTTTGTTTATTTTGAGAGAGGGAGAGAGAGAATCCCAAGCAGGCTCTGCACTGTCAGCGCACAGCCCAGTGCAGGGCTCGAACTCATGAACCATGTGCCCATGACTGATCCGAACACAGACCCTCAACCAACTGAGCCACCCAGACACCCCTACCTTGGACAGCCTTTTAATGGTGCATATTAAACTAGAGAAAAAGAATGAAAGAGAAGCAGGGCCAGGCCGGTATTGTCCCATGATAAGAAAAATCCAAAAGACTCAGGACATTATGGTCATCTTGTTGTTTTCCAGAGAGCACTATAGATGTACTGCTTTCCATTCCTGATCAGTTGACTGACTTTGTTGAGAGAGAACAGTTGTCGCCTTTTTTCCCTCCAAACACCAGCAAAGGGCTTGTAATGGTCTCATCCCTACTGAGAGTTGTTTTGTAAGCAAAGGTGGTTTTTTTCTTTCAGTAAACTATTTTTCCATCTTAAGGTCTTGATAAATGACTGAAATGTTTATTTTCAAAGGTGAAATGTTTCATTAGGTTCTTAGAACCAAAGACTTGGGGCTTTTAGTTCTCTTAACCCTTCTTTTTACCTTTCTGTGAAGCTGCCGTGAGGTCAATATCTCTTGGTACCTATTTGCTCAAGTTTCTAAATCTAATCAAAGACTTGGTTGAGCATTTGAACGCCGTGTGTTACATGATGAGTCTGAGCTCTGCTCTGCTCTGTCTCTTCCAGAAGACCCCTCAGATCATGTACCTGGAGCAAGAACTAGAAAGCCTGAAAGCCGTGCTGGAGATCAAGAATGAAAAACTGCATCAGCAGGATGTCAAGTTAATGAAAATGGAGAAGCTGGTATGTTTCTTTGAGAGTTTGGCCCCATAGCACAGCATGTGTGGGGTAGGAACTGGGGTCTGCACTACAGCTGCCCAGTTGTTTTTCCTGCTACTTAATGATACTTGGAAATGTGCAGAAGGTAAAAGAAGGTACATTTTCTCCTGTGTGTTTGCTCCAGGCTTCTGTAGTGCTGCCTTCTGACCCATTGTTTCCAAGGAACTCGTAAAACAGCATTCGGATCCTTGGAAAAAGCACAGCAAACAAATTAGGCTTCTGTTTCAAGAGTTCTGTGAATCTGAACTCACCAGAGAAGAATTTGAAAATATTGTAAAATCAGCACTTTAGTTATCACCAACTCTGGGCTGGTGTCTTATGCCCGAAACAGATGACTGTGTAAGTTAATCACATGAGGGCAATTCAGTTTGCTATCTCAAGTAAAACTAATCTGGTTGGACAAATGCAGGCATTATGAAAAATAGGAACGAAGCTTAGTTGGTGGCCTCGAGGGCAGAGCCCTTGGGTTGGCTAGGGACGAGTCCACCCCCGAGTCCCTGTGTGAGCGGAGTGTCTGCCCTGGGGCTCAGCAGCCGGTGGCCAGGAATCTCCCCAGGAGGGCAGGGCTTGGCAAGGCAGCTTCTCTGGTCCCAGCCATTGCGTACTTTGCTCTCGACTGTCCCAGCTCTGCTTGTCCCTTGTCCCCTAGTTGTGAGTGACTCATTGTTGAGTGAGTGAGTGCCCAAACCAGCTCTGGACAACAGGGAGCTGGTCACTCTTGGTTTGGTTCACTTTTCATCTATGTGAAGGGAGGTAAGGGCTAAACCCCCATCTGGATATACAGGCACTTGGAATTGCTAGGAAATTTTGATTTTCTTTTTAAAGGAAGGAAAGAAGATCTCTTATGGGTTATTAACAGGGCTAACGTGGTGTCTATACCAGTTCCTGCCAAAGGTCATCCTGTTCCATCAAGCCTGATAAAGCTAATCTGGCTGTCAGCAGTGATGTAGACAGCCCACTTCATAAGCTGTTGTCCCATATGCTACAACGCATCAGAACTTTTCAAAATACCGTATACGTGACAAACAACCTCTGCTGTAAACTTACCAACACATCTTGATTTTTGTTGATCTATAAAAATTTTTGTTGGTTGCCATGCAGCAGAAGGATCATGGTATTAGTTAGCATTGCCTACACATCTGCAGAAGGAGTTGTTACAACAGGTAATCCCTGGGTTACTTTATTTACAAGCATACCTCAAAGATACAGCAGGTTCGGTTTCCCACCCCCACAATGCCACTATTGCAGTAAAGTGACTCAGTTGAACTTTTTGGTGGTTTCTCAGTGCCTAGAAAAGTCTACTCGGTATGCAGTAGCATTGTAGCTTTAAAAAAAAAAAAAAAAGAATCAGTGCACATACCTTAATTTAAAAAATGCTAACCATCTAAGCTCCCAGTGAGTTGTTAATGACCGGTCACCATAGCAAATGTGATCATATTGAAAAAGTTGGAAATATTTCCAGAATTACCAAAATGTGATACGGAGACATTGAAATGAGCAAACGCTATTGGACAAATGGCACCAGTGGACTTGCTTGACTTACACATCTTCAATTTGTAAAAAACAAAAACCCGGTCATGTCTGCAAAGCACAAGAAAGTGAAATACAATAAAAGGAGTATGCTTGTATTTGTAAGCACCAAGTCTTTGTAGAAAAGAAGACTCTTAGAAAGCAAGGAGGCTTTCTCAGCTGGAAAGCTTTGATATGAGAACAAGTTCTGCCAGTAGTTAGCTGTGAACACCCCCAGGGCTGGTTTCCTCTCCTTTAAACTGAGGAATTGGGGGTGCCTGGGTGGCTCAGGTCATGATCTCACGGTTCATGGGTCCAGACCTTGCGTCAGGCTCTGTGTTGACAGCTCACAGCCTGGGGCTGGCTTCGGATTCTGTGTCTTCCCCTCTCTCTGCCCCTCCCCTGTTTGTGCTCTGACTCGCTCTCAAAAATAAACAAAAAAAAATTTTTTTAATAAATAAAATGAGGAATTGGATAAAATCATATCATCAGGCCAATCACAGCCCAGTCTCTAATTCCAGATTTCCCACCTCATGTTTTGTTTTGAATTCCTTTGTAATTAATTACTGGAAATTGCAAGGTTTTCTTTTTCCTACAAGGTTTTCTTTTCTTTTCTTTTTTTTTTTTTTTTTTTTGGAAATTCCACCTGACTGGCTTATCCTCGGTGTTGATCTGGAGAATAGGAAACATTAAGGACAACAGGACTCCCAACCAAGAAGTCATAATCCGAGTAGATTAGTCCTCCACTACAAAGACAGGGAGAATTTGACAGAGCTGTGACTGTCACCTCCTAAGCAAGTAATCGCATCGTTACCTTTAGACAGTCAGTGGGATGTAATCAGCTCTTCATCACGTTAAGTGATTAAATGGCTTCTGGGATTTTATCCTTTAATATCTCCACTGATCAGTTGGTTTTCCATAAAAGTTGAGCCTGGCGCAGGCCAGCAGGAGAACAGAGTGTCTTCAACTGACCTGTCCAGGAGGGAGGCTTTGTCTAGCATGCCTGTGTCCCTTCTCCCAACTGATGCTCCGCAGAGCCTCGTAAATTGCTGCTTTGTGAGGCCACCCAGCGGTAAATGCCAAAGAGACTGGAAACCACATTTGAGGCCTTGTAAACAGTGCCAAGAACTGTGAGCTGTTGGCTTCCTAGGAGTTTTCATCGGACGTGGGGATTTTTGTCTTCTCCAGCAATGGGTGTGGGAGACCGTAGTGCCCTTACAGACGCGGGTTCCCCTCCTGGAAGCTGAAAGAGTCGCAGCCTCCAGTGTTGCCCAGGGCAGGGCACCAATTCTCAGGGGCAGCTCTGAAACAGTATGACCTAGAACAAACCAATCACCCCCTGGGTGTGCCAGTTTTCAAGTGGCCTGGCAGCCGTGTTTTCAAAAAATATATCCAGATGCTCTGTGTTGCTGCCTTAGAATCTTTGTGCAGCATGTCAGTGTACAGATATGTCGGTAGATCTTTACACTTTGCTTCATTAAATCTCTCCAAATGTGCTGGTGTCTGGAACGTGCCCAAGGGAACAAGGGACATTTTTAACGTATTAATGTCGGCATTCTTGTTTGCGCCAAGGTGGACAGCAACACAGCGCTGGTTGACAAACTGAAGCGATTCCAGCAGGAGAATGAGGAACTAAAAGCTCGGATGGACAAGCACATGGCAATTTCAAGGTAAAAATGGCCCTACTGTTCTGAGCTCCTCCCTTCCAGTGTTACGTTCTTACCACACTCCGCCCACGTACCTCTGGAAATGGGGTTGAAGTGTGTGGTTAAACAGGTGCTGATTTCCATGTGGAAAACAGGATTGGAGCCGTCCATGCTTTTACCACAGTGACGTGGAGCAAACAGCATGTCCCCTAAACAGGCAAGCCATCCCCGAGGCCCTTGGCTTACTGACTCTTAGAGTGGTTCCAGAGAGGGAGCACCCAGGAGCAGCTTGCAGGGGAGAAATTTGTGGCAGGGGCAGCCAGCCCACTCTGAACTCACCCCCAAAGGTGCTGTTCCTGTGGCTCATGTACCCAGCGTGTCTCCACCAGCCAAGCGGCCACGTCTTGTAGCTCCATGCAGGACTCCCTTTTGTTTCCAAGAGATTGTTTTGGGGGCTCCAGTGGTGAGAATTTTGGGGGGGCACCTGGGTGGCTCAGTCAGTTGAATGTCTGACTTCGGCTCAGGTCACAATCTCACAGTTTTTGAGTTCAAACCCCGCATCAGGCCCTGCGCTGACAGTACAGAGCCTGCTTGGGATTCTCTCTCTCCCTCTCTCTGCCTCTTGCTCACTTGTGTTCTCTCTCTCTCAAAAATAAACATTTTTATATAAATTTTTAAAATATTTTTGAGAGAGAGCAAGAGCAAGAGTGTGAGTGGGGGAGGGGCAAAGAGAGGGAGACACAGAATAGTAAGCAGGCTCCAGACTCTGAGCTGTCAGCACAGAGCCCGACGTGGGGCTCGAACCCATGAGATGGGAGATGATGACCTGAACCGAAGTCGGATGCTCAACCGACTGAGCCCCCCAGGCGCCCCAATATACTTTTTTTTTTAAATGGTAAGAATTTTTTCAAGTTACTTTTAACCCAGATCCACATGGTCGGTGGCTCTTTTTTGTCTTCAAGGCAACTGTCCACCGAGCAGGCTGTACTGCAGGAGTCCCTGGAGAAGGAGTCCAAGGTCAACAAGAGACTGTCCATGGAGAACGAGGAGCTGCTGTGGAAGCTGCACAATGGGGACCTGTGCAGCCCTAAGAGGTCCCCCACGTCCGCCACCGCCCCCTTCCAGCCCCCGCGGAGCCCCGGCTCCTGCCCCACCCCCGGCGTCTCACCCAGATGACCCCTCCTGGCAGCCGGGAGACTGTCGGAAGCATCTGTGACAGGCCTGCGGGACTGACCCCAACCACACTCGCGGGAGCACGCGCCACAGCGGCGGACGTGTAGGGACCACGCTGGAACTGGGCGGGCGCTGCCCCCGAGGCTCCTTCTGAGACTGGAACACTCTGGAGGGAGACTTGGACCCCGTCCAAGAGCCCCCTCCCCAAAGACCTCAGAACGGATCCGCAAGGACGGACAGACGGACGCTGTTGCACAAAGCACTTAAGGAACAAGAGGGGCTTGTTCATTGCCCTTTCCACCTAAGCATGGGGGGGAAGAAAACTCAGGGGCCCGTTAAGATAAAGATTTATAACCTTTATAATGTTCTTCACCGCCGACACCTTGGGATTTTTGTTTTGGTCTGAGTGGGGATGTGTGAGTGGAGTGGATGCGACAGACTGTCCCGTGTCTGCTGCCGCCTCCGGCGTCGTGTCCTGAGAGGCCAGCGCTGCACCCGGCTGGGTAGGTACCCCTCACCGAAGAGTGTGTGCGCTTCCGCAAAAGCCATAGGAGGAGCAGCAGCAATTGCTTGAATTAAGACTCTCTACCGCCAACCTGGCTCTGCCCTTGACAGTGGGGAGCGGTCGGTAATGACCGGCGAGCTTGGACCGGCTCATGTCCCTGCAGCTCTGGGTCCTTCTGTGATACCTTGCCGGCAGTCTCTTGGTGTTCAACCGCATCAGTTCATACTAGCTCGGTTTTTTCCTAGGTTTTTAACCTCCCTACGTGAACCTAACATTATACTACAATCTATTTTCTCAGGCTATCAGCAAGTATAAGAACCTAATTTTTCTAAAAATCTGTATAAAGGAAAGGGCAGTACCGATGGGTTTGCTTCTGCCTTATTTTTACCTTGACCTGAGCTATCCCCACAGATTTAAACTGTTTGCTCTCCCATTACCTTCACTTTCCCCCCTTCCTCCTCTCCACGCCCCACTCCTCGCCAGAGCCACAAATGCAAACCTTCTACCTCCTACCTACTCTTCTCTGGGACAAGGAATAGCTTTTCTAGAGCCAGCTCATCATCAAGGTGCCAAAACCACTTTCCAAACAAACTACGGCCTGGATCTGATGGTACAAATGTCGGGAAACCCTGGAGAGAGTGAAGAACAAGGCATTAGCGAGCTGAATGGATTAAAGGAGGAGTCAGTGCTCACAGATGAGTAGGGCATTGATGTAGTATTTAATAAAACATTCTGGGAAGATAACGGTAAGCTTCCCTGTACTCTTGGAGGAATCCTCCGGTCCTTGAGGAGGTAGTGGAATGGCCAGTCAGTGGGTGGGAGATGTGATGGGTACCACTCCCTCCAAGTCGCAGTTCAATTTCTCTTCAGAACTTATTACCTCCCCCAATTCTAATACATTTAGAGGGAGGTAGAAGGAAGCACTGTGGCTTGATCTCCCTCTCCCTGCATGTCAGTATTTACGAACCCGCGTCACTGTCCAGTGGCTGTACAAACAACCCCTATAGTGTAAGAACAGTTTCAGGATACTAGAGGTGGATATTTGAGTCCTCATTTACATGGACACTACATGGCAAGCTGAGATCCATGATGCATGGTGGTTTTTATTAGTGATTGTGTCTGAAGCCCTTAATCTCCAACAGTGTATTATGTCTGTTACCTTCCATGTTTGCTTCCGATAAATGGGAATTTAGGTTCACTGCCACCTTATGGAATAGCTCTCTGCTTGCCCTTCTGAGTTATTTTCAATGCCATTAGCCAAAGTTGGGTTTGCCATCCATCTCCTCGGCATGGTGACCCTTGTGCGATTCCCTGCTGTCCGCCATACTGTTTAGGTGTCCGGGGAAATCAATCTTACACAATTAATACAAAACGTCTCTGGAGAATGGGAGACGTTAGGAGAGAAGATAGGAAACAAAACAGAGAACTTTAAGATTTTTTTCTTTCCAAACCAAATGTTGTTCACGTAGGATGCAAAATGATGGCACGTCATAAAAATAAGGATGTGTAAACTGTAGTTGTGCTCAGTTTGTAGTGTTGGAAAATGTATTTTACTTTGATCAAATAAATAATGCTGGAATATTCAACCTAAGGATTGCAACGTCTGACCTGTGCCACCCTCTGAAGCGTCACCTGGTTTTTAGCCTTTCGCAAGGTACCTGTGACCATTTGTCTCCTCTTCAGCTGTTTCCCCAGGAGCTTCTAATGCAACCACACAGCTGCTCGTGGGCTGAAATCTGGTTCACAGAGCTGGACTCACAGGTAAGCTGCTCTCAGTTCCCAACTCTGTGTATGGGAGAAACTTCAACTGATTTTAACAATTTCTGCTGCGTAAGGTAAGAAAATGGGAACAGCCAAAGTTTAAATATTTTTGAAGGTCTTAAAAAAAAAAAAAAAAGCCCAAATGAAGCTAAATCTTTCTTGAATCAGAAATCTACTTTATATTGAAAGTTAAAGTTTTAAAAAACACATGTTGTAGTTCTTACTGAATGACTCATCTAGAACTAGTACTTTTGGGTGTAGCAGCTTAGAAAAGGGTGGGAGTTTTTGATCCCTTCACATCATTTTGCGTATATAATTGAACCATATTTTACTCCATTTATATATCTCTCATATTGTGGAATAGAATCTTGGGTATTGACCCGAACATTGCCCCCAACAAGTTCTTTTGGATGTACTTCAACCTAAAAAACAAACTTAGCCCATTTTGTATTTTTTACAAAAATTTGCCCATTTAATAGAAATGAGTATACAAAGTTGTTAACATCTATGCTTTTTTATAAAAAGTAGAAATGCATATACGTAGGTAAGCAATCAAAATACATGCTTTCTGTCAGAGGAGTTAACACTTCTATTATTAGACCAGAAGACTTCCTTTTAGTTTGGATGTCTGGGTCTGACTCACAGGGCTGGGGGTGGGGTTTGGCACTGGACACCAGCCTCCGGCAAAGCATTAGGCAAGAGAACCCTGAAGCCGGTCATGTACACAGGTGAACTTCCCATCCATTCATTCGACTTCGTTTTCCAAGTCAGGAAAACTCAACAGTGGTCGCTACTGTCGTCTCCCCTTGGAGATTCTGAGCAGTGCAAATGTAGTACCCTACATCAGTGGTCTCAAAGTCTTCGATGGTCATGATGCTCTGGGAGATTCTCGTGGTGTGCCCCAGTCCTCTGTGGATCAGCCGCCACGTGTCTTGAATTGTCACGGGCCTTTCATCCTGTTGAAGGACACCCCCCCACACTGAAGCAGAAGCAGCAAGCTGCTATAAACAGGTCCCATTCACCCAACACCGCAGGGTCATCTTACCAGTGCCAAACCCACGAGGACTGTGGTATGCATAGCACAGGGGAGCTTTTACAGTATACCCAAGCCTTATACTGTTGGGAGCGCTCTTTTTGCTCTTCAGTAAGTAAGTTTCTACTTAATATGAAATTCTTCTGGAACCCCAGCAGCATAGAACGAGTATTAAGCAAGAAACCTAGATAAAAATTTCAATTGCTCCCCTCCTCACAGTGCCCACTCGATAGTTCTGTGATTCCAGAATTTACAGCCAGTAAAGCCTGAAGCCCTCACTGGGTAAGTGAACCAGAGCTCCCCAAGGTTCCGATTTGGGGAAGGGAGTGGTAGAATTCATCAGCTAGGCCAAAGGACTCCAGTGGGAGCTAAGTTGTACCAAGCATGGATAACACCATGCCCTGGATGACATAATTCCCTATTTCTAGAAAGTGAGATGGTCACTTTGGAGATGCTACGACCACAGGAATCTAGTGTGTTCTGGATTCTTTTTGAACAGGGTTGTAATAGTACCAGTATTACTACACTTTCTGCTCATAAAACAGAAAACAAAACACACTTCTGTTGAAAATCATAGATGTCTTTGAAATGTGACCACATATTTTAACAACAAGGACCTGCTTACGAGGAAAATACTTTTCTCCAGGGAAAGTTGTTTTCCACCAATCACAGCCACTAAGCCAGAAGTGCATTGGCTACTGAGTATGTCTGAGGAGCCAAATCTTCTCTGGCAACGAAGGGATTATTCCGTGTTGGTGGCAAAGCTGTTTATTTTAGTGAGCAAAACAGACACGGAGGCTAAGAGTGCGGGTGTTGCTCTTATGGAAAGTCTATTTTAAAATGATCTCTGGCCTCACAGCACCTCTTTGCCAGGGCCCAGGTTTATATGCCCATTTGATGGATGTCCTCGTCACAGAGCATAGCTCGTAGGGAGAGCTCACTCCAAGGGAGACCAGTTGGCCTCCAAATGACCCAGAAATGAGGGTGGAGAAAGAGAGAGCCCCCCTCCTTTCCCTTTCAGGCTCCATCCGTGCTTAAGGGTTATGAAGAAAAATAACACATAAGGGAGGGACAATGAACTGCCTGATGGAACCCACTTGTTTTTCCCCCTGCCCTTTAAAAAAAGCCACTTGTAAATATACTGGAACATCTTAGAAAACAAGTAAAACCTGGCCTCTGATACAGTTTCACACATTTCTCACACTTCCTAAGTTATGATCTCTTCACTTGAGGGTGTGGCTGGGGGGCAAAACTAAACTTACTGAGCTGGCTGAGGCAGGGGCACGGCCCTTACCTTCTGCCCCGGAAAGATCCACCTGAATTCCACCTCGACATCAGGTTCCCCTAGTACAGTGCAGAGGATGCTGATGTCATCCCCGCGCCTCACTTTGTTTGAAGACGCCAAGATGGTTGTTGACGGAGGGCCTCTAGGAACTGGAAGGAGACAGGGAACGGGAGACAGAATCCAGGAGTATGAGGTTGAAGACAGACCTCAAGGCACATTCTGTTCCTCGCACTGAGCTGCAACATTTCTGCCGCCTTTCCAGCTTCCCAGCCAGTTTCAGGCCTACACCGTCCCATCACTTGCGGTTTCCTGTGCAGCCTCCTCTGCACACTGGCAGTCCAGAAGGGGGGGGGGAGCTCCCCCGGCTCCCCCAGGCCCAGCCATTACGTTTATATAAAGCGAAGAGGACAAACGTAGTGCGAAATGAATGAGAAAGGGAATAAAACGGTTGAGGGAGAAGAAGGTGCTTGTGGGGAGAGAATGAGAAAACATAGAGAAGGCAGGTTGGAAGGAGCGGAGAGGACCAGACGGGTGTGTGCTGTGCATCCTCAGAAGGAAAGGGGTCAAGTCTGAATCTAATGGAAAAGGATGTTCGCAGGAAAGCTACAACTACTACATCTGTTTGCTTTACTTCAGAGCATTTTAGAAATATCTCATTGGTGTCAGTCCAGTGAAGTAATTTGGATGGCAGATTTGAGCAAGCCAATGGGCTAGGAGCGGGGGCTACAGCAGCAAACAGCACAGACATGGTCTCTGAGCCCTGGCGGACCTCTCTTCATGGTCTGGAGGAGGCAGACACTAAACAAGTAACTGTACAGTTAATGTTAAACTTGAGTTGCACTATGAAGAAGACCAGTAGGCTTTTCATGTTCAGAATAGTCTGAAAAGCAAGACTGGCTTCCTTGAGGGACCAATGTTTGAACTAAAAACCTGAAGGGTGAGCTTCCCAGGCATGGAGGGAGAAGCAGGAAGGGACCCGCAGCCCGGGGATCACAGTGTGTGAGCCTCCACGGTGAGGTGGATGAAGGCCAGGGGGCTGCAGAGTGGGGAGGAGGGCAGAGGGCACCTCAGCCCACATGGAAGATTCTGACTAGAGTTCTAAGAAAAGTGGAGCCCAGGGGCACCTGGGTGGCTCAGTCCGTTAAGCATCTGACTTCAGCCCAGGTCAGGATCTCATGGTTCATGAGTTTGAGCCCCCCCACCAGGCTCTGTGCTGACAGCTCAGAGTCTGAAGCCTGCTTCGGATTCTCTCTCTCCTCCCTCTCTGCCCCTCTATGCCCCATACTCGGTTTCTCAAAAATAAACAAACATTAAAACGATCCCATTTTAAAAAGTTCAATTTTGGCGCGCCTGGATGGCTCAGTCTGCATCCGACTTTGGCTCAGGTCATGATCTCACAGTTCGTGGGTTCGAGCCCCGTGTTGGACTCTGTGCTGACAGCTAGCTCAGAGGCTGGAGCCTGTTTCAGATTCTGTGTCTCCCTCTCTCTCTCTCGGACCTGCCCCTGCTCACGCTCTCTCTCAGAAATAAAACATTTTAAAAAAAGCTCAATGTTTAAGGGAGAGATTTGAGCATACTTCACTTGCTTCAAGAAGTGAGGAATTAGGCCAATTGGAAGAGACTGAATTTACACAGCCATGGGATTTTTCCAGTAGCTCTCATCATGGAGAAGGGGTACAAGCATGTTCTCTAGAGCGGTATTTCCCTGGACAGTGGGAGGAGAACAGGCAGGCAAGGAGGTGAGGGCGCGGGCAGAGAGCATGGAAGTGGCAAGCCCTGGAACCCAAGCTGGGTGGGCGGGGAGGGCAGGGGGGCAGTGGGGAGCGCAGGGGCAGGTGGTGAGGATGAGGACAGACACAGAGGGGTCAGTGAACACTGAGCAACAATCTGGGCCAGGATGAGGTGGTTCATCACGACAGTGTCTGACTCAGTGTGTGATTCGCATGTGGGAGCAGATGTGGCTGCGGGCAGGCTGATGGTGCAGCTGAGGGAGGGGTCCTGGAGGCGGAGGGTCAAGAGGGTCAGTGGACTAGGCTGATAGCTCCAAGTGGATGTTGACATCACCCAGTGATGAGGAGGACCAGGAGCTAAGAAGGGGAGTGAAGGGAAAGGAGAAGAGAAAGCTGATGGGGCCACAAGACTCGGAGGAGCAGAGGTTCCTGACAGAAAATGAGAGCACAGGGTGAGGAAGGGGGCACAGACACAAGAAGAACTTGACCTTAGTTGGGGAGGGATGGTGCCCTTAGGAGACCACAGATTTTGATTACAACAGAGAGGATGCTCTCATCAGAGAGAGTTCTAAGAGGCTGGAAGATCTGGAGAAGCACTGATCCGTCACCCAGAGACAGTACTGGAGCGAGCAATGGGTGAAGGGAGTCCAGGGGTCTTAGCTCAGGGTCACAGGCAATTCTAGAAATGGCAGTGCAACAAAGGAGCCTTTAAGAACAGCATTCTGTGCGCCCCAATTTCCACCCACGGTTGGGAAGAGCAGTGTCTGAGACCGGCTAGCTGGAAGGGACTACACTCTTGGCACTCGTAGGCGCAGGCTTACCTTCCACGTAGAGTAGTTGGTACTTGACTGAGATCTGGGACTTGCCCCCAGCCTCGGCTTTGCAGTAGACCACCCCCTGCTGGTCAGAATGAGGTTGCAGATACACAAAGCCCCTCTTCATGTCGTAAACAATGTCTGTTCCATTGGCTGGGATTTCCTTGGCAGGGAACTCCCTGTGCAGGGTGACTTTGGCTGACAGGACAGTCACTCGACAAGGAACCACAGCCTGCCTGTCCCGGTTCAGGTAGACAACATCAAAGTAACTGGGGGAAGGGACAAAGAGTTCTCCTTTCTCTGCAAAGGGAAAGAGATTTATTTATTCTGGAGAAACAAGGTAAGAGTGCTTTAAGGATTTTTACATTCTTTGGGCACAGAGAGGAGACTGACAACATACTCAGATACTGAGTCTTTATGCATAGAAAAAGCTGCTCTTCAATGCTTTTCCTTTTTTGTTAAAAAAAAAAAAAAGATTTTACTTCCCATCTCCTTAAAGGTAACAAAAAGCTATTGGTGGAAGCCCAAGTCAGGCCCACGAATTCCCCTACTAAGAAAGCTGAGGAGTCAGGTTTCCTTATGTTAAGAGCAGTTTTATAACCTGTGAACAGGGGCTGTTGGGTGACTCAGTCAGCTGAGCCTCCGACTACAGCTCAGGTCAGGGATCCCACGGTTCCTGAGTTCAAGCCCCACATCATCAGGCCTCAGTGCGGTCAGTACAGAGCCTGCTTCAGATCCTCTGTCTGTCTCTCTCTTTCTCTCTGCCCCTCCCCCACTTGTGCTCTCAAAAACAAACAAACATTTAAAAAAACCAAAAACAATCCTGGGAACAGCGTGCTATAACTCTGGAGACGTTAGCCCAAAGCCTGTGCTCAGTCACTGAGAGCGGCTCCCCAGCACAGCGAAGCCTCCGAGAGGCCCGCCTAAGGGAGGGCCCTGTACCCTTGCCTGACCTTACAGCCCAGAGGACCGTGTTCCTGCCAGTTAATGGAGAGAGAATCAAGGAAGGACAGATGAGGAACCCACTAGCCTCACCTTGTCTAACTGTGGTCTCAGAAGTTCTTATAGCCTGAAATTCTGCCTATATTTTTAAGTTCTAGATGATGGCATTGGCTCTTACAGAAATGAGAGAAACAAGAACTCGCCTGCTTGTACAAACATTCCTCAGAAGGGTCAAAGGGCTGTGGGTTAGAGTTCTGGTTTTGGTTTTTTATTTGTTTTCTGGCATGGCACATTAAATCCTCTGTTTTCTAGATGCAAGCGTCACGGAATACTACGGGAATTGCTAAGAGAAATCTTTGAACTTAAACATACTCCAGCATTTGTTCATTGTTTCCCACAATGTTCCTGTGGAATAATTATATAATGATTATTATAACGAATAATTATGTAATGATTATTATAACAAATAATTATTCTTGGCTTTCTCCTTCACTAGCCCTCTTTATGCCACACTCATGTGATGTTTGAGGTTGGGGACAGTATTCCTAGACACAACATCAAATGTCTTTGTGGGCCAAAGAGCTCTTTGGCTGTGAGTGCCAAGTTCACTGTCATGGAGGTCCTTCCCTGGCTCTGAGATCAAAAAGGAGTAGGTCATGGATCAATGAGTCTCCATCTTTTGCAAGGCTTCCTACCAGCCTGGGTGACGTGTGCCACCTTAAGGATAAACTGACTTTCAGGCTTAGTTACGGGGCACCTTGGTCAATGCCATTTCCAACACCTATGTGTTCACACAGAGTAAGTCTACGTGGCCTTGGTTGGATCAACTTCATCTCTGGGCTTCCACATCCCCATTTGGAGAGGAAAGACTCTAGGAGTAAAGATAGCTTTTGCTCAAAAGCACTTCAGGAATTTCTCATTGTAAGATTTTGAAGTAACTTTCTTTTAAGTTTTTATAGAGGAAACTGAGCCAATAAACAAAACTAGCAGCATAAGTGAAAAATCCAAATTCTAGAACACAAAAATGTGGTCTTACTTCTTGTTACTATAAAACAATTTGAAAGAAGTGACCTCACCAGTTGCTTTAACAAACAGAAAAAAAAAAACTGTAGTAGATTCTCTCCACCAACAAAAAACTTTGCTGAAGTTCATTTAAACATTTTAGATTACATATGCCCCCTTGCAAACATATTTGTATCTTTTCAAATAGATGACGAGCATTACTTTAAGAAAACTAAACACATGGAAATTTGGATTTCCAAAAACAAACAAACAAACAAAAAAAACCCCATAGGCTATAAATTAAAATCCAAATTTCAACAAACTCTGTATTTAGTAAAGTGCTCATTAATGTGGTTTTACTACATATGATCATTGGAGCCCAAGCCTTTTGGTATGAGAAAGCCCTACCACTGGTAATGTTCCCCTTGAACTGGGCAGTTGTTATGTGTGTGTTCATTTGAGGATAATTTATTGAGCTGTATATTTGTGTAGTTTTCTTTGTATATATTATGCTTCAATAAAAAGGAAAAAAACCTTCTGAAACCCTCTCAGATAAAGATTAAATATAATATGGGACAGTGGCTTAATCAAAAATTGCACAAATGAACAACAGTTGAAAAGAGGCTTCACAGTGTTTGCAGTCAAACTCTGGGAAACATACAAACATAACGAATGCCAGACGCTTCTCTATGTGGGTCGTGGGGAAGCATATGTTCTGAAAGAATTGGAGCCCAGCAGTGGGAGGCTCAGCTTCCACAACAGCACATCTTGGTTTTGCAAACCCACCCATGCCTGGAGAGACAAATGGTAAACCCTGTACTGAAAATCCAGTTGGCCTCTTGGCTTGGGGTTGAGAAAAGAGAAAATGATACAACCTATTAGTAGTCTGCGACCCTTTTTGATTCAAGTTCCTTTACAATTGAAGTAAATAGTTTAATAAATATTTTAGCCTTCCTTTGATTCACTAAAGAGCTTCCCACAAATTAAGAACAAGGACCTGGTCCCAAAACTCAAAGACAGCCCTTAACCCTAATGGGACATTTGGCTCAAGGGAAGGAAGTCTTTGGTTCAAAATTTCAAGTCAAAACCCAATCTTTTAGAAAGACGTGACAGTGCTAACCATGGCAAAGAATCTTCATTCTGTGATGTGAAGTGTGGTATCAGTCCTTGTCCAGAATAAAAGGCTGTAAGGGCACATGGGCAAGTCTGTGCAGCACGTTCCAGAATGAGGATCAGAAGGGATTACCTGTGAACAGCTGTTAGCAATTCTTCCGGCAACACCAGTGATGCTACCCGGTGTCTTTCTGCCTGTCTATCAATCTACCCACCACTTTGTCCTAGAAATGGATTAAGGCAGTAAGAACATTAGATCCTAGGTCAGAAAAACAGGGGCTGACTCTTGACTCCCCATTACCAGTCATGGAACACTGAACAAGTCACCTTGCCTTTTAAAGTCCCAGTGTCTGCATCATTATTTCTAAAATAGAGATGGTTAAGTAGCTTCTACTTATTTCCTAGGGGTGTGGCAAAAACAAAAGGAGATCCACGTGACTTCAACATTATAGAGTGCTCTCTGCTAATGCATCTTCTGGTGAGCTGTGTGCGTGGGAGGGAAATACAGGACATTTGCTAGCATTCGTTAGTGGCCAGGGTAGAACATAGTTTGGGTCCCAGGCCTCAGTCACAGTAGATCTGAAGGGTGGAGGGACTCAGGATGTAGACAAGGCTCATGAAGGCTCCTGCCTGGACACTAAGGACGCAGTCTGGCTTTACCAGAGTTGCCAGGACAATAGTAGCTCCTGGCGGCCGCATCTGTAAGACTGCTGAAAGCTACTCCTCACCTCTGAGGCTGTTGGAGAACATCATACCCCAAACCTCAGAGTTGAGCCGGCTCTGCAGAGTGGGCTATTCCTCAAGTGTCTGCTTCTCCAGGAGCAAGTTTCACCTGGCAGACACATACCTGACACTGCAGCCGAGACCAGGTCTCCACTCCGACCTGTGCGTGTCTGTGCCCTTCACGCAGCACAGGGATGGGGGCAGGAGCCACACGGCCCGCAGGCTTTGGGAATCGTGCCCCCCAAATTTCAGCTCACAGCATGCTGAGAGCAAATATGAGGAGGCCTTTAGCTAAGCATTGTATGACCGTGGAGGCTCTAGAAAGGAGACGGTAATGGGTCCCGAGAGCGCAGTGACTGAACATCCACAGCAATGCTGCCCAGGAGAGCTTTCTGTAATGAGAGGCGTGTTTCCTGTCTGCAACGTCCAGGAGAGCCACGGGCCACATGTGGCAATGGAGCCCTCGAAACAAGGCAAGTGCCCCTCAGAAATTGAGTTTTAAATGGTTTAATTTTAAAAGATTTCTACTTAAATGCAAATAGTCGCACATGTCTAGTGGCTGCCATATTGGCCAATGTAGGTACAGGCTCTGGAATCAGACAGCCTGTAAATCCTGGTAATGCCACTTACCTGTACGACCCAAAGGATGGATTTCATCTCTCTAGACCTCTGCTTCCCCATGTAAACAACGGAAATGACATACGGACTGCCCCTGGAGGGCACTGGGAGACGTCCGTGAAATAATGGACATGCGCTGACAGAGCCCGCCGCACAGGGAGTGCTCGGATTACCACCGTTAGGTACTCGGCACACGGTGGGAACCTAGAGCTCTGGGCCGAGTCCAGAATTCTGAAGAATCCCACCGACACGCCAAATGGTTTACCTGTAAAAAAGATGTAGGTGGAGCCGGTTTTGGTCTCGTCCTTCCTGCAGATGTAGCCCTGACAGAGCTGTCCCCAGCAGCTAAACTCGCCCGTGTCCGCGGCCGTGGAGTTGACCAGAGTCAGCTGCCCATAGCGCTCGTGCTGCCTCACGCTGTCAACGGAAGCAAAGCCCACTCACACCGGGGCTGGGGGCCCGCAGGCGGCCCCCCTGCTCCGCTGTCCCCGCACGCAAGTCCCCCGTGCTCTGGGCAGCATGGCCTCTCTCAAGTGCCAACAACTAGGAACAGCTGTTTGGGGGGAAAGTGTGTGGAAGGGTAGGGGGTAGTCAGAGAAGCTTCTAAAAGGAAGCAAAAAAGACCATTATGTTTTATAACAAGAGATTCTCTTCCACTTCAGAACTGGTTTCCTGAAGTAAAATCACTGGTGCGTTAGCAAGGCAGCCACACAAAGTCAGCCAAAAAGCCTTGGCCAGGTGTTTTGCTTTCACGTTTGCTCCTAATGAGCCCATTTAAAGAGCAGTCAACGTGAAAGAAAGCACACAGCATGTTGGCCAGTGTGCAAAATCTCTTGGATCAATAAGGGTAAGTCTCTGAATATAAGCCTGGGATCTTTGAGATGCCACATTTTATAATAAAAATGAAAACTCTGAGGGCTCCTAGGTGGCTCAGTCACACAAGCATTTGACTTAGGCTCAGGTCATGATTTCACGGTTCATGGGTTCGAGCCCCACATCAGGCTCTGTGCTGACAGCTCAGAGCCTCAGGCCTGCTTCAGATTCTGTGTCTCCCTCTCTGTCTGCCCCTCCCTAGCTCATGATCTGTCTGGCTTGCTCTCTCTCAAAAATAAGTAAACATTAAAAAATAAATAAAAACTTTCCTTTGGGGAAAAATGCTCAGTTGCTAAGATGCTGAGCCCCAATTATGCAGCCCACCTCTGGTACAGTGCTTAGAACTTTTGAGCATTTAAGTTTTCCTCTGACCTCACACTATTATTACTTCTACTTTTATTTTCTCATTTTGTATCTCTTGTATTTGTAGCTTGTTGTATGTGAATATATTTGCAAACTGCTTCAGTTCTTTCTGGAATGAGGAGGAACATAAATATTAATACTAAACTCTATTATTAGCTGAGGGTAATGGTGATTAAGTATATTGTGTTGTGACAGGAATCCAGATGTATCATCAATGGGACACATATTCCCCTGCGGTTTATGAGCCTCTGAGTGTGGGCACACCAAAATAAATGGTTTTAATCCGAGGATGCATCTCAAATAGCCAAATGGCTCACCCCTGTGAGATCCACATACTTCTGTGATGTAGTGGAGACTGTCCGGTTGTATTGTGCAACAACATCAGCGTGGTAGCCACACTAAATTTAGCAAAGAACCAAATGTCTGGTTGGTTAGTCCTAAACACAGCCCCGCTCTGGTTCACCGCTGAAGAGCTGCCTTGCCCACCAGTGCCTTCCCACTCCCACGCCATCAACTACCTCCTTTCAATGGAACGGAAATCTCTCCTCCTTCAGGAAGCTTTTAATTAGAATCAACTCTCGCTTTCACCTAGTGATGTAATTACCTCCCTTGTTCTCTATCCCTCAGACCCCCATGGCTTCCTGTTATTACAATGGATGGTAAAAGCTCTGAGGGCGGGGCCTGGGCCATATTTGTTTTATATTCCCTAAGCAACAAATCTGTGCAGAGGACACAGTAAAGATTTTCTAGAAATGACTGGACTGAAATTGAACTGAACCACAGGATTGGAACTGGGAAGAACCTTAAAGAGAAGGCACCCATCCAGTGATGACTGGGAAAGAAGAAACAAAGAAAAAAGAAAAAGGCATCCGGCTCCCAGCATTGCAGATGAAGAAACTGAGTCTCAGAAAGAAGTGACTTCCCTGAGACCTACAGCTGGTGGATACTGAGTCAATTACTTATGTCAATTAAGTATGTACTAAATAGTCACTCGTTCGACAAGCAAACACAAAGAAAGTTCTGCATGCCATACCAGATTCATTGCATTATTCTAATTATAGCTTAATTACACATAATTGCAGACGAGTAGTAATTATTGTGAAAACCACTACAACAATGACACATAATACACCCCCCACATTGGAGATAGCACAGCAAATAAAAAACAGTGGACCTCAAGGATATTACAGCCCAGGTAGGTGGTTAAAACTAATACACATGAAAGGATCAGAGAATAAGGGGTATTCAAAACAAGGACAATAGGAATTCAGACAAGGGATTCATCCTTGTGGGTTGAAGAGGCTGAAGGCAGCTTTGAGGAGGAGATCAGACATGCTGGACTTTAAAGGCGGGGGTGGACAGGCAGGGGCAGTGAGCTCCCTTGCTCAGAAAACTACGGTCCGCAGAGGGCTGGGACGGGCCTGGGCTGCTCTTTTTACTGCACCGCCACAGCCTGAGTACATGGTGGGTGGAAGGCACTCAATACTGATTTAAGGATTTAACGCATTCACCACAGAGGATACAGAGGGAGGGGGTTGGGAGGCCCGGGGCATTTGGCTGAGAACAGGCATCAGGGACCGGGTCTGGAGGTGGGAAGTGATGGCCACTTTAGCCAGGGCACGAGGTGGATGTGGGACAGGCAGGAGGAAGGGGGGAGACCGAGAGCCCGTTTCTGTGATGAACAGCACAGCAAGTGCCGGGGTGGGCTGGGTGCCCGCAGAGGAACGGAAGCAAATTCAAGGCATACTTTTGACAGACGGGTATAAGAAGTGGAAGAAAGAGCTATATCATTAATGACCACTCAATTTGTATTTCTGTGTTAGAAAGACTGGGGCTTTAACCAATTGAGACAGAATCGCTGAGAAGAGAAAGGAGATTGGGGTAGGCAAAATCAAAAATCCACCATTGGAGATTTTGAATTTGTGATGAAATGTGGGTCACTCAAGTGTGGATGTCAGTTGATGTGGCACTTGGAAACACAGGCTGGGGCACGGAGGAGACAAAACGGCACCAGATTTGTATTTGGTGGAGTCATCTACAGAGGAGTAAGAGAAGCTAAAACAAAGAATGAACTCAACAAGAGAAAGCATCGAAAACAAAGAGAAGGTTGAAGACAAAATCTAGATTCAAACTAGGAGTCCAACAGGGCAAGAAAAGGTAGAGAGAAAATAGAAGAATCAGGAAAGGGTATCATCAAAAAGGAAGATTCAAGAAATGGATGCTTGAAAGCATCAGATGCCTTTAATAGAGATTCATGCCCCTCCCTCATCCCCCACCCCTACTTCATTTGGCAGAATGAAAATTTTTGGCAATGACCAAAAATGTAATTTCAATTGTGAGGACAGAGTTGACTTTCAGCAGATAAGAAATGGAAAGGTGGAAAGAAAACAGAGGTGGATGTCTTCCTAGGTAGACCAAAATATCTGTCCACATTCCCTATAGAGCTCAGAACTGGGGTACAAAATCAGTATGTAATTAATCAACATATCGAGCACCTCCTGTGGACCCAATATTTGCTAGCACTGTAGTAATAGAAAGTACTAGATGCCACTCCTACCAAGAAAGGAATTGGGCGCAAAGAAATTTAGCACTTAGGAATAACCCTACCACCATGAAATCTACACACTGTATCTTTAGCAGGGTTGGGGGTGGAAGGAAGGAAATGCACTGGAAGACATTTCTGAATTTTTCCACCCCCTCTTGTATGCAAACAATATAAAACAGGAAACAAACTGTTTAGCAGGATTACAGTTTAAATGCCTGGATTTGAAATGTCCGTTTCTTCTAATGGCCTCACACAGCCCCGGCAGCAGTTTTTCCAAAGAGATGGACTATGACCTATGTTTCTCTGGAGGCAGAGTCTGCACGAAGAAATGGAGACAAGGATTCAATGCGCCCTGCAAAGCACTGGGAGACCCTCACACAAGTACTGTCCCCTTCTCTTTTATAACACTTAACAAATCCCCAGGAATGGAATGGTGGATGGTGTGAAGTTTAAGTGGAGGAAAAAAGGTGCTACATCAAAGTGCCCCCCAAAAGTGTATTTAAGATGAGTAGAATTTACACTGATTGGAGGTAGCTCTGAACATCCTAGAACACCTCAGCTTAGGTCTTCCTCCTCCAAACGTGCCCTTCCAGACCTGGCTCACAGTAAGCTCAATGAAGGACAAGTCAAAGTTTCAAAGAGTATTCAAAATTTACAACCATGTACGTGCGTGCATGCATGTGTGAATGTCTTCCATTGGGGTCCTGTGGCCTTTACAGTCCACTCCCATCAATGGAGGCTTGAAGCTTCCAGCATGTTGCCCATCCTACTCTTCTCTGGAGGCAGTAGATAGGGAGGTTCTATCTTGGGATGGCATAGAGGGGGAGGTTGACAGCTCTCAAAGTTAGGGACCACTGTTGACCTCACCTGGGGCAGTGACCAGGTAACGGTGGTAGGGTCCATGCTCCTATCCTTCCTCCAGACTCTACAAGCCAAAGGCAGAAGGTAAGCCCTCAATTACAAAATAACTAGTCATCAGTCCCATAAATACTTAATGATCATAAGTTAAATGGGAGGTTCTGAAGTGCAGAGTAAGAGACACAATGATACTTAAGTAGTTTACTGCTCTCAAGTTACCCCCATACAAAATGCCATGGGAAGCCCAATGAGGGTAACCAGGCAAAGCTTCAGGGCTGAGAGCATCTTGGGGGAAGAGAAGGACTTTTCACAGGCACAAAGTAGGGGGCATGCATTCCACAGGAAAGAGATCCCCTGAAAAGAGACAAAAGGCAGTTTGGTTCATGTCAAAGAGATCTTTGACTGGAACACAGGTGGGAAGAGGTTGATGCTGACGGTCATGGGAGGCATAAGATCCTGCACTTTGGAGACACAGTGACAGGATTCAAACCCCAACACGACTTGAGATTCCTTAGCTAGGAGACGTGGAGCTCATGCCTGCCACATTCTGGCTGCACTTAGGAGTGCAGGCATTGCGCTAAGCGCTTTGGATACGTTCAAGACCTAGAACAGTGCCTGGCACAGAGTAAGTGCTTAATACATTTTGGATACTGCTATTATGATGGTCCTCTAGTTTTCATGACCACATTAGGATGGAGGTACAATTTTTCCTTTTACTGATGAGGACACTGAAACTTAGAGAAGTACCTTGTCCAAAGTCTTCTAACTGGGAACAGTA